GCGAAATCAAGGAGCATGCATAAGGGACCCATGGACAAAGCCAAAGTGGGGAAGAATTGAGGGTGGGAGGTGGGGGTGGTTGAAGCAGAGGAAAATGGTGGTGGGAAAATGAAGACAAATGTATTTGAACAATAAAAAATTTTTTTTTAAAAGAGATAAGGAATCTCTCCATAAACTACAGGGTATGGCAAAGTAGGATTACAGTTGTAAATACATGAAACACTGAGTTTATTCTTGTAATTATTATTTATTATTATATTTATTTTCCAGACAAAAAAATGTAACCCTACTTTTGCCATACCCCCATATATTGTTTCTTATGTTATATTATTAAGAAGAAGAAGTATGTGTAAGAATTGCTCCAAAGAAAGTAAAATACTTAGGTATAAATCTAACAAAAACCTGTACAGAATCCACGTGCTAAATTACAAAATGCTGGTGATAGAAAGAAGACCTAAATAATTAAGAGGCACATTTATGGACTGAATATTCCACATAGTAAAATTCAATTCTCCCCATATCGATCTATAGATATAACACAATCCCATGGTTTTCTGCAGACATAGACAAGTTTATTCTAAAATGTATGTGGAAAAAGGAAAAAATAGCTACTTCCTTATTTTTTAAAATAATTTATTGTTGTTCTATTACAGTTGTCCTAACTTTCCCCCGTTCCTCTCCTCTGTCCTTTGCACCCCGACCCCGTTCCCACAGTCAACCCACACCCTGATGTCCATGTCCACGTCCACAGATCATTGTCCAAGTTCCTTGCCTAGTCCCTTCCCCTTCTTTCTACCTTTATCATCCTCCACCTGCCTTCTGGTCACTCTCAGGCTGCTCCTTGTTTCCATGCCTCTGATTCTATCTTGCTCATTAGTTTATTTTGTTCATTAGATTTCTCTTATAGGTGGAATCATGTGGTATTTGTCTTTTATCACCTGACTTATTTCACTTAGCATAATATACCCAAGTTCTTTTTTTCATGCTGTAGCAAAAGATAGGAGTTCCTTCTTTCTTTCTGCTGTGAAGTGTTCCATTGTGTAAATGCACAATGGTTTTTGATCCACTCATTTGCTGATGGACACTTAGGCTGTTTCCAGCCCTTGGCTATTGTAAATAGAGCTGCTATGAACATAGAGGTGCATAGGTTCTTTTGAATTGGTGTTTCAGGATTCTTAGTGTAAAATCTCAGCAGTGAGTCACTGGATCAAAAGGCAGTTCCATTTTTTGTTTTTTGAAGAAACTCCATGCTGTTTTCCACAGTGGCTGCACCAGTCTGTATTCCCACCAAGAGTGCACTAGGGTTCCCTTTTCTCCATAACATCACCAGCACATGTTGTATGTCGATTTATTAATGATTGCCATTCTGACAGATATGAGGTGATATCTCATTGTGGTTTTAATTTGCATCTCTTTGATGCCGAGTGATGTTAAGCAACTTTTCATGTGTCTACAGGCCATCTGTATTTCTCCTTGTAAAAGTGTCTATTCAGGTCTTTGCCCATTTTTTAATTGGATTGTTTGTCTTCCTGGTGTTGAACTCTATGAGTTTTTAAATATGTTTTGGAGATCAAACCCTTGTCTGATGTATCATCAGCAAATATGTTCTCCCATATAGTCGATTCCCTTTTCATTTTGATGATGGTTTCTTTAGCCATGCAGAAGCTTTTTAATTTGATGTAATCCCATTTGTTTATTTTGTCCTTTATTTCCTTTGCCCTAGGACAATTTCAGCTGTGTGGGATAGCTCAAATTTTACTGCCTATGTTCCCCTCTAGGACTTCTTTGGTATCATGGCTTCTATTTAAGTCTTTTATCCACTTTGAGTTTATTCTGGTATATGGTGTAAGTTGGTGGTCTAGTTTCACTTTTTTTCGTGTACCATTCAGTTCTCCCAGCACCATTTATCGAAGAGACCATCTTTACTCCATAGTATGCTCATTCCCCCTTTGTCAAATATTAATTGACCATAGAGATGTGGGTTTATTTCTGTGCTCTCTTTTCTGTTCCATTGATCAAAGTGTCTGTTCTTTCGCTACTACCAGACTGTTTTGATTACAGTGGACTTGTAGTGTAGTTTAATATCAAGTATCGTGATCCTTCCTACTTTGTTCTTCTTTCTCAAGGTTACAGAGGCTATTTAGGGTCATTTTTGGTTCCATATAAATTCTTGAAATATTTGTTCTACATCTTTGAATATGCCATTGGTATTTTAATAGGAATTGCCTTGAATCTATAGAATGTTTTGTGTGGTGTGGACATTTTAATGACGTTAATTCTTCCAATCCATGAACATGGTATATGCTTTCATTTACAATATCGTCCTTAATTTCTTTCTTCAGTGTTCTGTAGTTTTCCAAGTACAGGTTTTTTGCATCCTAAGGTAAATTTAATCCTTGGTTAAGGTAATCCTTGGTACTTTATTTTTCTTTTTGATACAGTAAATGGGATTTTCTCCTAGTTTATGTTTCTGATATTTCATTGTTTATGTACAAAAATGCCTTTAATTTCTGAATATTGACTTTTATCCTGCTATTTTTCTAAATTCACTTGTTAGGTCAAGTCGTTTTTTGATGGTGACTATAGGGTTCTCTATGTACACTATAAATCATCTGCAAATGACAATTTTACTTCCTCCTTTATAATTTGCATGCTTTTCTTAAAAGATTTTATTTATTTATTTTTAGAGAGTGGGGAAGGGAGAGAGAAAGAGGGAGAGAAACATCAATGTGTGGTTGCCCCTCACATGCCCTCCCTGGGTACCTGGCCCACAACCCAGGCATGTGCCCTGACTGGGAACTGAACCAGCGACCCTTTGCTTAACAGTCCAGCACTCAATCCATTGAGCCAGGGCTAATTTGGACGCTTTTTATTTCTCTTTGTTGTCTGATTGCTGCAGCTAGACCTTCCAATACCATGTTGAATAAAAATGGTGAAAGCAGGCAACCTTGTTCCTGATCTTAAGGGGAAACTTTTATTTTTTGCCCATTGAGTATGACGTTGGTTGTAGGTTTCTCATATATGGCCTTTATTATGTTAAGGTATCCCCACTTTGCTGAGTGCTTTTATCATAAATGGGTGTTGCACTTCATCAAATGCTTTTTAAGCATCTATTTATATGATCACCTGAATTTTGTGTTTCATTTTGTTTATATGGTGTATTATCTTTTTTGATTTGTGAATAGTTTACTTTATTTGCATCCCTGGGATGAATCCCACTTATTCACAGTGTACAATCTTTTTAATGTACTGCTGGATCCAGATTGACAATATTTTGTTTAAGATTTTAGCATCTATGTTCATCAGAAATATTGGCCTGTAGTTTTCTTTCTTTGTTGCATCTTTACCTGGTTTGAGAATTAGGATAATTCTGGCCTTATAAAAACAGTTTGGGAGTCTTCCCTCTTCTTGAATTTATTGGAATAGTTTGAGAAAGATAGGAGTTATTTCTTCTTTAAGTGTTGGTAAAACTCACCTGTGAAGCCATCAAGTCCAGGGCTTTTGTGTGCCAGAGTTCTTTGATTACTGCTTCAATTTAACTAGCTGTTATTGATCTCTTCAGGCTTTTTGCTTATTCTTGATTCAGTTTTGGAAGATTGTATGTTTCTAGAAATTTGTCCATTTCACTCAGATTGTCCAATTTCTTGGCATATAGTTTTTTGTTGTAATTTTTTTACAATCTTTTGTATTTCTGTGGTATCAGTTATAATTTCTCTTTCATTTCTGATTTTATTTACTTTGGTCCTCTTTTTTTGATGAGTCTGGTTAAAGTCTTGCCAATTTTGTTTATCTTTTCAAGAACAATTTCCTGAATTTGTTGATCCTTAGAATTGTTTCTTAAACTCTATGTCACTTAATTCTGCTCTGATCTTGATTTTTTCCCTTCTTTCTACTTGCTTTGAGCTTTGTTTATTGTTGTTCCTCTATTTCTTATAGCTTGTTTATTTGAGATTTTTCTATTTTCTTTAGGTAGGCCTGTATTGCTATGAACTTCCCTCTTGGGACTGCCTTTGCTGTGTCCCATAGGTTTTGGGGTGTTGTGTGTTCATTTTCATCTGTTTCCAGAAACTTTTTGATTTCTTTCTTGATCTCATTTTTAGCCCATTCATTAGTTAATAACATGTTATTCAGTGTCCATGTATTTGAATGTTTTTGAACTTTTCCGTTTAGGTAGGTTTCTAGGTTCAACCCACTGTAATCTGAGAAAATGCTTGATATGATTTCAATTTTCTTGAATTTGTTGAGGACTGTTTTGTGTCCCACCATGTGGTTTATTTCTGAAAATGTCCCATGTGCATTTGAAAATAATGTATATTTTGCTTCTTTGGGGTGAAAGGTTCTGAATACATCAATTAAGTTCATTTGATCTAGGGTATTGTTCAATGCCACTATATCCTTTTGATTCTTTGCTTGGAAGATCTATCCATTATTAACAAGGGAGTGTTAAAATCCCCTATGATGAGTGTGTTGCTGTTGATATCTTTCTTGAAGTCCTCCAAGACTTTTCTTATATATTTAGGTACTCCTATGTTGGGTACATATATGTTTACAAGGGTTGTACCTTCCTGATGGATTCCTCCCTTAAGTATTATGTAGTGTCCTTCTTTTTCTCTTTCTACGGACTTTCTTTTGAAGTTTATTTTGTCTGATATAAGTATTGTTACCCCAGCTTTATTTTCATGTCCATTTACTTGGAATATGTTTTTCCATCTCTTCATTTTCAGTTTGTGTAGATCTTTTTGTTCTGAGGTGGGTCTCTCGTAGATAGAATATATGCGGGTCCTGTTTTCTTACCCATTCAGCTACCCTGTGTCTTTTGATTGGAGCATTTAATCTATTTACATTTAACATTATTATTGATAGGTACTTATTCACTACCATTTTTTCCCTTTGTACTTGTACTCTCTCACTCTTTTTCTTCATAATCTTAAAGCAGTCTGTTTAGCCCCTTTTCCAATGCTGGCTTGGTGGAGACATATTCTTTTAGCCTTTTTTTGTATAAAAATATGGAAAGGTTCATGAATTTGCATGCCACCGTTGTACAGGGGCCATGCTAATCTTCTTGGTATCGTTCCAAATTTTAGTATACATGCTGCCGAAGTGAGCACCATTTTGTTATTTTGAATAGCAAAACAATTCTGATGGAGAAGAATAAATGTGAGGAATTACTGTACTCAAAGGTAAGGTTTACTATAAACTACAGTACTATAAAGCTAAGCATACAAGCAGCAGTACTGGAAGAGAGATGAACACATATCAGTGAATAGAATAAGGAACCCAGAAATCACCCCATACAATTAATGGCCAACTGATTTTTGATAAAGGCACACGAGTGATTCAATAGAGGACAGAATGTCTTTCAACAAATGGTGCTTGAGCAACTGGACATCCACAGGCAAAAAAAAAAATCCAAAAAACCTGAACTTCAACATAAAACTCATACTTTACTCAAAAATTAACTCAGATTGCATCATAGACTTAAATGTAACACATAAACTATAACACTTTTAGAAAAAAAATGATCAAAGAAAATATTCAGGACCAAGGAATAAAAGTTTTTAGACTTGACACCAAAAGCACAATCTAAAAAAGAAAGAAATTGGCAAATTATATCTAATCAAAATTAAAAACTTTTATTCTATTAAAATCCATATTAAATCCATACAAGACCAGCAACAGAAGAAAATATTTGTACTCTATATATCAGACAAATACCTTACATCTAGAATATGTAAGGAATTCTTAATATTCAACAGTAAAAGCACAAAAACAAAAATCCAATTATTAAATGGACAAAGACATAAAAAGATATATCACCAAAGGTAACATACGCATGGCAAATAACCACATGTTTACATCACTAGCCATTAGGGAAATTCATATTAAAACCACAGTGAGATATTACTACGCAACTATCAGAATAACTAAAAGAGTGGTAACACCAAATTCTGGCACTCATGCACTGGGGATGTAAATTAATGCATTCATTCTGGAAAATAGTTTGGCAGTTACTCATAAACCTAAACATGCACACGCCATATCACCCAGCAATTTTACTCTTGGGTATTATCCTAGAGAAATGAAAACTTACCTTAAGATTAAACTCAGTACACAAATGTTTATAACAGCTTTATTTGCAACAACCAAAAGCTAAAAGCAACCCAAATGTCCCTCAATAGGTAAATGGTTAAACAAACCATGATACATACTTATTGTGCAATACTACTCAGCAATCTAAAGAACTATTGATCCATGTAGCACCTCGGATGGATCTCAGGGGGAATATGCTGAGTGAAAAAGCCAATCTCAAAAGCTATGGACTGAAAGACTTCATATATATATAACATTTTTGAAATAAAGTTCTTGAGATGGAGAACAGATTAGTGATTCTCAGATTTTACTAATTCTATATAAACACATGTAAAAGTGGTTTAAATCTGAATATGCTCTATTGACTGCACCAATGTTAATTTGCTGGATTTGATATTGTACTATATATCCCATGCAACATGTTACCCAAGGGAAAACTGAATGAAGGGTACAGGGACCTCCCTATACAGTTTTTGCCACTTTCTGTGCATTTATAATTATTTCAAAATAAAGTTTTTTTTTACACTATATAAAACTATGTGCATAATATAGTATTGTTTTATGGGAAAGGGGGGCAGAGGAAAAAACATATATATTTGGTTTTGCTTATTTATGTGCAAAAGGAACTCCTAAAGAATAGTAATAACTGTGATTACCCAAGTATGTGTCAGCAACAGGAACTGTGGCAAACAGAAGACAGGTATAGAAAAAATACCTTTGAAAAATTATTTTGAACCATTTTAACCTATTTTTTATTTTAATAATTAAATCATTATACTCTAGGCATAAAAATAATTATAATAATCATGCATTATCTCTATCATTCATAAAAGGACATGAAACACCAAAAAAGTAAAATGACATAACCTTGAATTTAGGGCAGCTATTCGAATTTAATTAGTGCTACCTTAAAAAAAATTTTACATCTTCATTGCTCTATCTCTTATTTTCTGTGAATTTAAAAAAATTTGACCATTGGTCAGTGCTTGACTTGAAAATGACACTCAAAAAACACTGCATTTGCTCACACCAATTTGGCAATCTGGGTGCCAAAATGAATCTCTCACTTTTGGATCTGCAGTCCTCGTGGTTTCAGAATATGCAAAGCATTGTTCTCTGGGACTTCAGAGAGTGAAAACAATAAAGGGATCCTTTAAATAACATTGGAATAAAATATGCCTTTCTGTGCTTTAGTGTTTCTTGGAAAATAGGATTGTGTGGTGCTATTTGTACATTCTCCTCCCCTCTTGAAAAAAAAAAAGAATAAGAAAAATGCTAATGCAAAAACTTAAAAGAAGTCTTGAAGATAATCAAGAGCAAATGAGGGGCCTTAGTAAAATATGCACAGGCAGCATTTAACCACAATTTATTAATGCCACATATAAAAGTAGAATGCCAGCTACCTCAGATACTAATGAAAATGAATAAATGTCAATGGGTGTAGCGCTGCTATGATGAAAAATCTGCTTTTTTAATTTATCTGCTAGAACTGAGAAAAGAGAAAGATAGTGACTTGGGCCAATAAAATATTAAAGATGCTCTGAGGTTATCCACATTCAAAACTGCAATATTCTGCTAAGTTGAAGAACCATTTCTCTATGCATCTAAACGTTATCTATCAAAGTTTATTTTAATGGTAGCTGTCTAGACATTTACTTTTCTCTTGCTTCTTTCATCTTAGTCACAAAGCAATGATCAATTTAGCCACTATTTATAGGAGAAAGGCACGGGTTTTAAGGAACTATGAAAGCAACTTAAGTAGCTCTAAATTAATGATTTTTTTTAAGTACACATGGGAACACACAACTGTGTTAGCAATTCAACAGTCTAACATTATTAGGGAAAGTCAAATGTCTTGAGTTCTCATGAAAGCAACCCAGAGCAGCCAAGCAGAGGATGTGCAGGATGGGTGCTCTGAAGTGTGAATATGTCTGGGAGCATGTGTACGCCTTTAAGACCTTTGTCATTACCAATATGTCTTCCAAGTTGCAGGACATTTAAAACAGCAATTCAGAGTATGACAATAGCTGACCTCTGGGCCCCAGGCACTCTTTCCCCACACCTACTTGGCCCACACCCTCACTCCCCTCAGGGGTCTGCTCCACTGTCTCCTTATTAAAGAGGCCTCCCTTGACACCCATAGCTAAAAGAGCGTGCACTGTGTTCCATTCACAGTTTTCTTCACAGCACTTGTCACCATTGCCTATCTCCTATTTACATGGTTATTGTCTAAGCTTGTCTCAAGAATGTCAGCTCTCTGAGCACAGGGATCAGACAGCTTGATTCACTTGTGTATCCAATATCTGAGGGGGAAAAAAAGTGACACAAGAAATCTTTGTATTTAAACCTCACAATGCTTCTGTAAGTAAAACAATGTTAACCAGCCTAGTCAGTGGAGAAGTGTGGAACTCAAGCCCATGTCTCTGAGTTCTAAATTCCATCATTTTTTCCCCAGCATATCATATAGCCTCTCATTTTGATAATGTGAGTTACTTTAAATCTAGAAAATTTTACCAAATCTCTATGGAAATGGGACACTGTGAAGGTTAATTATCTACTTAAAAAGAACATGTATGTTTATTAATTTCTTGAACGATATAATTCCTCCATGTGCACAAGTAAAAGTCTTTTATTTTCAGAAAGATATCAAAATATTTAAACATATATGTAATCAGGAATAATAGGAAACAAAGAAACAACAACAAAAAAAACCTTGACACTCCTCAGGATAACTCTGGATCCTAATACAAAGACATTAATAAATCTATGAAATTAACCACAGTTGTATAACAATTTAGCAAATATTTACTGGATCATCATTTATTGGTCAGATCCTATGCTAAGACCATGTAGTTACAAAGGGGAATAACTGATAGTCCACACCCTTAAAAGCGTTAAATCCACTTGAAGATAGAGAAATATAAACATAATTACAATATAATAGAATTAGAAGCCTTTATAAGTTGCCATAAGAGCAAAGAGAAATAGTATTCAGTTCTGCCTAGGAGCATCAAGCAGAGGAGTTGCAGTTTGAGTTGCATCTCAGGAGAGGAGCAGGCATTCCTGGTGCAATATTAATAGGGGGAGTAGCCTATAAACAGAGCTGGGAAATGGCATATAAGTATGTAGCCCAATGACTAGGACATTTAATATGGCTGGGCATCAGGGGCACTAAGAGGAACAGCTGGAGATGGGGCTATCAATGAGCAAAATCATGCTACCCAATGTTGTTGAGCTGGTTCAATGAGATAATGCATATAAAATTGTCAGCTTAGTGCCTCTCAAAGTAGTGAGTAAATGCTGGCACTTGTCTTGGAATGGAGGATTTAAGATTTTTATATATCCATTATTCGAAAAGAAGAAAAATGTCTCCTGGTACCAAAATCAATCAGCTGTTCATCAAATAGTTATTTATCTGAGTATCCATGTAGCAGAAGTGGCATGAGTTTATAGAACTGTATTCAAAGCCAGAGACACCAGGTGGCATTCTCATCCGATGTTTTCAGTGAGGACCAATATACGTGACAGAAAGCTTAAGAAGTAAAAGAGCAATCCTGTATTTAATTAGAGCCAGCCATGGCATGAACCTCATGTCCTTAGATAGCAAGCTGATTTTACAGAGAAGAGGGTGTGAGTTTGGTTTCTTTTTCCATTACTCACGACCTCAATCCTTAGGGAAATGACAAGATAATTTAATTCTCAAAGGCTCATTTGGTAGTGTCAATGATAAATGATCAGAAATATTGCTGCTTCGGTCACACTGCGTTTCTTATTGGTTCTTGCTGTTCCTTCCCCTGGCTTGCCTCTCCTCTCCACTCAGCCTCAAGAAACTACTTGATATTGGAGTGATAAAGCCTGTCACAATAAAAGTAATCTTCTGTCACAATCTTTCTCTTTTTTTCTTTGTCTGCTGTTTCCCCCTAAAAATTCTTCAGTTTGATCCCTGCATGGCAACTGCATACTTCTGCCAACACTAATTGATTCCATTGTTTGTACCAGTCTGCACAAGAAAATGGTA